AAGATCATGTGTAATGTTGCAGACTTAATAACAAAGGGAAACCTTTATAGTAGAAAGGGCATTGACCGTTCCTACCATAGGTAGAGGAGCAGAGCATGACACGTGTATTTGGAAAATGAGGTGCTAGCGGACTTGTTATGTTGCAGTTGCTATGCGCGTGAAGATAAACCAAACCAACGTGTCTAGATGCAACTAGGGCTGTCAACGGGCCGGGTCCGGGCCGGAATTCATTATTTTGGATCCGGACCCGAATTACTATACCAGAACCGAATCCGACCCGTTTATCCGACGAGTCTTTTATTCTATGTTTCGGATCCGACGGGTCCCGGATCCGGGTCGGGTCTACCCGCACAAATTTAGCAAAATTTATAATTTCTAATAAAAATGAGAAAAAAATATATTTGTAAACTAATTTCTAACTAATGCAAAGAAAAAACCAAATAAGAAAAGAAATCAAATTGACTTTACTCAAATACATCACCCTAATCAAATTATATTGATAAATATATATTTTTTAAATTATTAATTCATTTATATCCGGATCCGGCGGTCTAATACGGGTCGGAATACTATATTCCGTATCCGACCCGTTTTTTTGTTTGACAAAACGGATCCGGATCCGGATCCGGATCCGAAAAACGGAATTAAATCCCTATCCATACCCGCAATAATTTCACGGATCCGGTCCGGATCCGGGTCTAGACCCGACCCGTTGATAGGCCTAGATGCAACCAACCAATGAATACCGTACGCTGTTGTCATATACGCAGTGGGCCCTACACATTAGTGCTAGGTTTCCTGCCATTCGTTGTGCCTTTTTTCCCCTCCAATTACTGTGTATGTTTTCCTCCGTTCACTGTGCATGTGTTTCCCTCCAACAATTATTTCATTGTTTCCCCACTGCTTTATTACATTCAAAAAATTCTGAAAACTATTTTCTGAACCTAATATACCAAAAAATTTATTAAAATTAATAACAACATACCAACAATATATACCCATGACACAAATATCCTAAGCAATCATAAAAATTATTAGGATTATATAGTTACTTTAGAAGTTGCTCACAAACAACGTGCAACTAAACTTTCCATTCAAACTAACGATAGTACGAAAAAAAAGACTAATTAATGAAAAGACGATCTCCAAAAATTTTTAATTCACAGTCACAATATGTGAATTCGTGATAAATACAAAAAAGTTGGTAGCATAATTTTTCCCCGAAATCATATCATTTACAATTTCCTTAATTTCATGTTCACACTATTAATGTGTTCATTTTTTAAATTTAATACAATTACAATTAAAAAAATGATCTTTCCCTAACTTTGTTTTATAGGAAATAAATACTTCAAAATCAATTTTTTCGCCGTCTAATACGAAGTCTAAAGCAATTGGGGAGGGTTTCGTTATTAGTAGGTTCTACCATTTAATTGTTCATTATTATTTTTGTAAACTTAACAATATCAAACATGATGATATTTTATTTTTGTAACTTATTCAAATTGATATTATATTGCAAATCATTGCAAATGCTTGCTACTTCTTCCTATGTTATGTTTGGAAGACTTTAACTTTACGAACTAAACTTAACTAATACAACCATATATTTTGGATTGAATCCATACACAGAACTAATAATGTCATTTCGTTAATTTCCAAAAATTTATAATACTTAAGAAACAATAATGGAGACACAAAAGCTGAATAGCTAGCTTTGGATGCAAAAGTTGTCTTCAAATACACACACAACACATGTATGTCCGTGTCTATACAAATTGAACTACAGGAAATGCACAACAAGATACATATTTAACTTCATCCAAGGTTCGTATCATGAATTCATCAAATGGGTCATGGGTATTTTTAGTGAATCAACAAATTGCAAATATATTTCGTTACTTTAGTATTACAGTGCACGGGATGCCATTTGGTTAATACATTAGAATCGCATTTGGATGTATTATCGTTCATTTTTGAGTTTGGAATGGAGTCAGTCATTCCATTTACAACTGTTTGGTTTAGTTTTAAGAATGTATATGATTACTATAGCTCATGTATATTCGTCGGCTTCTTTGAAATTGAATATAACATAATTTTACTAATTAAATGTATCAAATAAACTGTATTAGTATAAATGTATTACTAAATTTAGTATAACTAAATCATAATTTTTATTAATAAGCACGTATATTTAATAGTACAATTGATATTATCAATTAAATTACATATACTACTATACATTATATATTACACATAGCTAATAATATCATTATTCTAAGTTTGTCACTAATCAAATTAAATATTATATATAATAAAATAAAATTATACAAATATTGTAATATTAATATAAATATATAATTATATATTATATATAATTATTCATTATTCTAATACATTATAATTATATAATGTATATTATATATTAAATATTATATTATATATAATAATAATATTCATAATAATAAATATAACTATCTCTATATTTTTTTATTATTACATAATCATATATATTATAATTACATGAACATCTAATAACATTTATAAATAAATATAATTAGTTATATAAATTAATAAATTTATAACATATATTACGTAAATATACAACCCTCTATTATTAATGATTAGAATATATATTATACAATATATTATACATGTGTATATAATAATTATAATTATAATATAACTATATTTGTTATTATAAATATATTATAACGATTATATATATTATATAATTATACTAATATTTTAATAAAAATATAATTAGTCCTTAAATATTTTAATTAATATATATACATCACTACCATAATTATACACGATTGTTTAGTGGATCTCGGACGATTACTAGGGAATCAGTCCAGGTTACTAGGAAATTGCTGAAATTTCAATTTTTTACATATGCTTCTAAAATACCAATTTCGATAGTAGTAATCCAAACAACAATTATACAATTTATTCTAATTCTCCATTCCGAAACCCTGTTCGGAAATGCCACAGTAGATTGTCATGCTCACTTTTCGGGAGATTAGTAAACAGTAACTGAATTCGTACGCAGTTTCCTAAGCATCAGTCCGTAAAATGTACTTGTTAATTTTAATTTCAGTGATGTTAGTATCAAATACAATTTTTTATACTTAACTATAGTCAAACAACATTTCTTTGCTATTTTTCCAATACCACAATTGCAATTGCGTACTTTACGAAGTACAGCTCAGCATTAATGTCACATATTAAGTGTCGATGCAAATCAAGGGACATTATTAGTTCTGTGTATGGATTCAATCCAAAAATATAGTTGTATTAGTTAAGTTTAGTTCGTAAAGTTAAAGTCTTCCAAACATGCCATAAGAAAAAGTAGCAAGCATTTGCAATGATTTTGCAATATAATATCAATTTGAATAAGTTACAAAAAAATAAAATATCACCATGTTTGATATTAGTTAAGTTTACAAAAATAATAATGAACAATTAAATGGTAGAACCTACTAATAACAAAACCTTCCCCAATTGCTTTAGACTTCGTATTAGGAGGCCAAAAAAATTGATTTTGAAGTATTTATTTCCTATAAAAAAAAGTTCGGAAAAGATCATTTTTTAATTGTAATTGTATTAAATTTAAAAAATGAACACATTAATAGTGTGAACATGAAATTAAGGAAATTGTAAATGATATGATTTCGGGAAAAAAAATTATGCTACCAACTTTTTTGTATTTATCACGAATTCACATATTGTGACTGTGAATTAAAAATTTTTAGAGATCATTTTTTCATTAATTAGTCTTGTTTTTTTTTCCATACTATCGTTAGTTTAAATGGAAAGTTTAGTTGCACGTTGTTTGTGAGTAACTTCTAAAGTAACTATATAATCCTAATAATTTTTATGATTGCTTAGTATATTTATGTCATGGGTATATATTGTTGGTATGTTGTTATTAATTTTAATAAATTTTTTGGTATATTATGTGCAGAAAATAGTAGTTTCAGAATTTTTTGAATGTAATAAAAAAGTGGGGAAACAATGAAATAATTGCTGGAGGAAAACACATGCACAGTGAACAAAGGAAAACATACACAGTAATTGGAGGGGGAAAAAGGCACAGCGAATGGCTGGAAACCTAACAGTAATGCATAGGACCCACTGTGTATATGACAACAGCGTAGGTATTCGTTGGTTGGCTGCATCCAGACACGTTCGTTTGGTTTATCTCCACGCGCGTTAGCACTGCAACATAACGGGTCCGTTAACACCTTATTTTCCAAATACACGTGTCATGCTCTGCTCCTCTACCTACGGTAAAAATGGTCAACGCCCCTCCTATCATAAAGGTTTCCATAACAAAGACCACACTACTACAAATACTACATAATATGAACTGCACCATTTTAAGTTTTCGATTAATAATGAATCAACTCTGAATGTTTCGAGCTGATATTACCTGAGACTCAAACCTTTAGAAAGGCCAAAGGATTAGATCCACTTTTCAGCAAATTTTCTTGTAATTACTAATAGGGAAAATCGTTCAAAACGTCCCTCACATTTTATAAAATAACTTTTTTCGTCCCTCACTTTTAAAAGAATAATTCTACGTCCCTTACAAATTCACATTGATCAAATTTGGTCTCTACCTAGGTTTTCGACTAATTTTTTGCCGGAATATACCACGTGACTTGCATGTGATCATTTTTTAAGGGCAAAATTGTCAAATCAAATTTTTATATAATTTGATTCATAGTCCCTCACATTTCACAAAATGAATTTTTTCATCCCTCACATTTTTCAAAATGAATTTTTTGTCCTTAAAATATGATCACGTGCAAGACACGTGGTGAATTCCGACCAAAAACTAGTTGGAAACCTAAGTAGGGACCAAATTTGATCAATGCGAATTTGTAAAGGACGTAAAATTACATTTTTAAAAGTAAGGGACGAAAAAAGTTATTTTATAAAATGTGAGGGACGTTTTGAACGATTTTCCCTTACTAATATTTGACGAAAGCTTGATGCCATAATCAATGCTATATTGAACAATGATTCGTCAAATTTCACCAATTGCCAACCCCTCTTCTCACCTCAAATTTAATCTTTAAAGTTCTATAAATATACAAATCCACCTTCCCTAAATCAAGAGAAAATATCTAATAGAAAGCACATTGGAAAACCAACAACCTAGATATTCTTTTGCAGCAAGGCGAGACTTCACACCAAGTTGATAGAGACTCTAACCTTCATGGAACTTGTATGAAAAGTCCAATGATGTTAAGCAAAAATAGCAGTTTATCAGTAGCCCTTCATGTCTGCATAACGCAAACTACAATATGGTTATACCTGCGAACAAAATATTAAGAGACATAAGGGCATCATACCCATCCTTAATTTACTGTTCATTTCTTAATGACCATAAACATAAAAGTTGATAATCCACAATTACTTTCCAATTATATAATAGTTGTCATTCTAGAAAATGGTTCTAAAAAAGACAGAACATTGAATCTTCAATATTTGCACCTACAAAACCCAAAAGTACATTATTCAAACAACTAAATTCAAAAAGAAGAAAACATACAATTTCAGAGCCAAAGTCACCATTGAATTTGAGAATAAAAAGTGTAAACACCAAAAACATGAGAATTTTGATACATTGATAACCACTTAACTCCAAATTGACCTTCAGCATTACTTGGTATAAAGTGGCAGTTTCTTGGTATAAAGTTGACATTATGCAACAATAATGGAAGCAAAAGGCAGATTCAACATAAAAATCGTATTAACTTCAAAGGTCATTTCTTGTTTGTTGCCCATAAGTGACAAATAATTTTTAGACAAGGAGGCAGTTTAGGCTTTCAAACAACTAACCATTTACTGGATTTAATGCACTTGAAGCGTGTGCTGATACCAACCGCTTAGCTGCGAAACTTGCATTATGTTGTCTCTAATTGTCAAATATGCTTTCTTCCTTTTCGCTAGCTTCCTGAAGATAGAAATTAGCCATTGTCCAGGAGAACAGCTAAAGCACATCATCAACCGAATGTTTCTTGATAAAACACGCCAAACCTCTGCTGAAAACAGAACAAGAACCAAAGAAATATCAGATCTGACTGGTAATATCAGATCAAACTTTGCTGGTAGAAGCTAATTTCACAAACTTTTCTTGATCTACCAGTAAAGAGAGAAAGATGAAAAATAATCAGAATATAATTACCAGTCAGTCAATCTGGAAAACCAAAAAGCAAATATTGTAAATCAACAAATCAAGTGAAACATACAAGGAACATAAAATAAGTTTGTACCACAATATCATACCAAGTTTCAGGTCTAGATGTGATTTTTGACGACTCAGATTTTACAAATTGAGAGATTTCAAAAACATGTAGAGAGAATGATATTAATTTTTGTCATAACAATTAATCAGCAGCAGCTCACATGAGGACTTTGTATCATTCTTTTTCAAGCTTACAACCTTGATTGTGTTACAATCTGCTAAGGAACCAAGACAATAGCAAGTGGCACAGCAACATATAGAACAGCATGGAAACGAGCTCCATTACTAACCACAGATCACACCTCCCCCAAATGTTACAAGTAAAGCTCATTTCTCAACAACCCAGATCCACTTCAAGATCTTTTTGTTTTTAATACATACAGGAATAGGATAAATGATACAAAATGATAACTAACAACATGTGAAGCAGCACTTTAATGTGGCAAGAATAGAGAGTCACTATTACAATTCCTTATCGAACAAACCAACTTCGCATAGCTTTTGCCATGCAAGTAAAAGCAATTAGTCTTGGATGGCAGTGGAATACAACAGCAGCCAGCATACCATATGTTTATTTATCTAATCAAAATGTGACATTTGAAAGTCTAATAAAGTTAAAAGCTCCATAAAGAAGTTGTACCGTAGGTAAATCAATCTGGTGAGTACTGCCTGAATACTTTCACATATTTCTTCCAATTATTTGTCCACTACAGCATCCATTTTCAACAGAATCCAGATATTAAATCGACACACCAAGCAAAAAACTTAACCGCAAAAGGAAATAAAATGCCACTATTGTCATTCAAATCCACCGCCATCACAGTCGACTCTGAAACCAGAAACTCCCATTCTGCAATGGTTATCATCAAAATTTGATCTTTCTTGCCAATTTTTCCTGAAAAATAACTATTATTCCTCAAATTAAAAGCTCCAAGCATCCCATTTTACATTGTCCTGCCATTTCGTCTTAAAAAATCATCAACGTCCTTGGCATTCCCTGAACCCAATAAATCACTTCCTTTACAGCTCGTCAAGTTGAATTGAGTTAAACTCAACCCAGGACGTCCCAAATTTCATCATCTCAACCATCCCATCATGCTTATTGCCTTCCAAACACAACCAAGATAGCAACTTTGAGACCTCCCACCTATTCCTCACCAAATCCAAGCCTTTGATGGCAACTTTAGCATCCCTAAACGCCGTCATACACTTGTTTTTTGAAAATTCTCGGCACTTATCCTTGGCAGTTTCAAGACAAGCCTCCATTTCACGTTCTTCGCATTTTGCCCGTTCCGCATAATCTTGTTTGGCTACGCCGCCCGTTAGGGTTTTCCACCAGGAGGGTTTGCATTTGTTGGATGCGGCGAGGGAGCAGCCAATTCGAGCTCCAGCTTCGCATTGTTGGGTGATTTGGGATTCACACGCCTTGTACGCAGAGGCCCATGACTGCGGGTCCTTGAATGCAAGGATAAACGGCCCAGCTTCTGAATTGTCAGATGAACTGCCCTTACAGGCCCACGGAGAAGGGGGATTGGATGTTGGAAAGGGATTAGGGTAGCCGATGGTGTGTAGTCGTCCAAATTGGGGGGTGGAGTGGTGGTGGTGGCAGAGGCCGTGGAGATTCTGCGGCCATGTTATCAAGTCAAGGCTGAGAGAGCTTAGGCTACAGCTGCTCCGATTTAGTAAACGGTAAGTCGCTGCTATGAAATTCTGAAGACTTGAACTATTAATTCTGGATACGGCATTGAATACACTTGGCATCTCTGGATTCGGCTTCAAGTCCACGTAGCTTTCAAGGAATGAAGTTTCCCGGTATCCAAATAAAACAATTTATTTGTTGCACTTTGAACGCATGGAAGTTGGAGAGGCTAACAATAATGGCCGTTTGGCAAGTAAGTTTTTTGAATATTTGTCTAAAATTTTACAATAATGGCCGGTATCCAAATAAAACAATTTATCTTGTTTGAATGTTTGTCTAAAACTTTTTGAACTGTGTAATTTTTGAATATTTTGAAGTGTATAGTTTTAAAAATTTTGCGAAGTATTTTGAGGTTACTACAGTTAAAGTTTTTAAAAAACTTATAGCAGATAAACTTGGCAAAAAACTCAAGAGTCAAACCAGACCTTTAATATAGAAGAAAGCAAAACCACGTACAAAATTTTCCACGTCATTCCGAAACAAAAAGCTATGACCGCAGATAAAAGCTAAAATACTGATGTATAATGTTGCAGACTTAATAGCAAAACCCACCCTACTACAAATAATAGATATTATGGGCGTGCCATTTTAAGTTGTCAATTAACAATGAATCAACTATGAATGTTTCAGGCTGATATAATCTGGAACTCAAACCTTTAGAAAGGCTAGAGGATTCAGTAAATTTTCTTTTGATTTCTAATATTTGACCAATGTTTATGCCATAGTCAGTGCTATACTAAACAATAATTCATCAAATGTACTCTACTCTGCCTACAATAATACAATATGCAACTTCTTGTACATGACAAATGACGAGGTCATTTCCGAGTGGACAAGTCGAGTCGGCAGCACGAGCTCACTTGTCGAAACACACAAGACTAGTCGGAGTCTTATACCTGGGTCTTATTCCAATGCTAAAGTCAGTTATGGAACGAGAGTCAGAGGCACAACTAGTTAAGTGGTTAGTCACATGTACCTGACTTGCAGACGATGAGGGGTATTTATACGGAAGAACCTCGTAGATAGGATGTGCTGTCTAGACCTGACTGATGGTCAGATGACAGTCTTATGGTGGTGGGCTTAGTTGTAACTCTGACCGCTAGGTTAGCAGGTAGTCACATCAGCCTGACAATCACTAACCACCTCCACAGCCAAGGTGTTGGGTGTTAGGTCCATGACAGGATCTAAAGTGAAAGTGAAGCTGATATGATTGGCCGAGACAATCTTCACCTCGGAAAGGCAAAGACGAGGATCTTAAGAAACAAATGAGCTTAGATAGCCACCTCGATAGTGACAAGCTGAGATGGTACCCATAACAAAGTTATACAATTATGTCCTGAAATATTAAAAATTAGTATATTCTAACTCTTAAAATCAATAGACACCATGGCAGTATAATCAAAGGAATAATATTCATATAGTCGTATCAAATCAAGAAAGACCCTAAACCAAAAGTACAAGTATATCAAGCTCTAAAGTTCTAAACTAGCAAAGAAGACTGGAACCAAAAGTGATGTGATCCTTGATCCACGGGAACCAAGAAGACGACGCGCGGAAAGCAAACCCTAGACTTTAGAGGACACGTTGCGAAGTTGACGGAGTCGAACCCAAACTTGGACCACTCAAGACGGGTTTAACGGTAGAAGACGCTACAATCAAGCGTGTGTGCTTGATTGATAAGTCAGGAAACAAGCTAGGATCAACTCTAGGGTGTTCAACTTAGCTTTCACAAGCTAAAAGGAAATTGCTTCAAAGAAGACAAATTTCTGGAATTTTTTTATTAAATGTCAAAAAACCGAATGTAGACATCAACTTCGGGCTATTTATAGCCTTGTCTAAAGCTAATAAGACTTGGAAAATAGCAAAGGAAATTCGGCCAGCACTTGCTCTTTCTTTGGGCCGAAGTTAAATCTAGTTAACTAATTAACTAACTCAATAAAGGACTAACCGTGCATTGAGGGAATTGACATAGAGGATCCTTGCAAGATTACCAAGACGTTGCAAACAATTGAAGAGGCAAGTGATCAAGCTTCAAATGGCAGAATTGGGTTTCGATTAAGTAACTCATGTTGAGCTTAGTTTCGGCCATGTGGGCCTTGGTTTTAATAGTCCTTTAGTGAGTTAATTAATTAGTTAACTAGGTTTAACTTCAGCCAAAGAAAGAGCAAGTACCGGCTGAATTTCCTTTGCTATTTCTCAAGTCTTATTAGGTTTAGACAAGACTATAAATAGCCTGAAGTTGATATCTACATTCAGTTTTTTGACATTTAATAAAATAAATTCCAGAAATTTGTCTTCTTTGAAGCAACTTCCCTTTAGCTTGTGAAAGCTAAGTTGAACACCCTAGAGTTGATCCTAGGTTGTTTCTTTACTTATCAATCAAGCACACACACTTGATTGTGGTGTCTTCTACCGTTGAACCCCTCTTGAGTGGTCCAAGTTTGGGTTCGACTCTGTTAACTTCGCAACGTGCCCTCTAAGGTCTAAGGTTTGCTTCCGCGCATCGTCTCCTTGGTTCCTGTGGATCAAGGATCACATCAGTTGGTATCAGAGTTGGTTAGAGGTATCACGTAAATCCCTTTTTCGTATTTTGAGTCTGTTTTTATCCTCCATATTCGTAGCTATGTGTTAGGGTTTGTGTCTTGGGTCATTGGAAATTCTTGTGTCATGTACAAATTATGTTTTGTGTTGTTTAGTTGCTATTTTGTTGAGTCGAACCCAAACTTGGACCACTCAAGACGGGTTCAACGATAGAAGACACCACAATCAAATGTGTGTACTTGATTGATAAGTCAAGAAACAACCTAGGATCAACTCTAAGGTGTTTAACTTATCTTTCACAAGTTAAAGGGAAATTGTTTCAAAGAAGACAAATTTCTAGAATTTCTTTTATTAAATGTCAAAAAACTGAATGTAGACATCAACTTCGAGCTATTTATAGCCATGTCTAAACCTAATAAGACTTGAAAAATAGCAAAGAAAATTCAGCTAGCACTTGCTCTTTCTTTGGGCTGAAGTTAAACCTAGTTAATTAATTAACTAACTCACTAAAGGACTACTAAAACCAATGCCCACATGGCCGAAACTAAGCTCAACATGAGCTACTTAATTGAAACCCAATCCGGCTTTTGAAGCTTGATCACTTGCCTTCTCAATTGTTAGCAACATCTTGGTAATCTTGCAAGGATCCTCCATGTCAATTCCCTCAATGCACGGTTTCTCTTGAGCTTGGACGATATGAACTAATGCTTGAAGTAACTCTTTGAACCACTTAACTCGTGCATGTGTCACGGGTCCTTGAGGGACCTTCACAGGGCCTACGTGAACATCATAGGTAGCTTGCTCATGCGCATCATTCCCCTCCTCTTGAGAAAGATTTGCTCTCAAATCGTGTTCGTCCCCTGCAAGGAATGGACTTATATCAGCAACGTTAAATGTAGCACTTACATTATACTCACCAGGTAGATCTAAGCGGTATGCGTTATCATTGATGCGCTCAATGACTTGGAAAGGACCATTTCCTCTAGGTGACAACTTGCTTTGACATTGCTTTGGAAATCTTTCCTTGTGCAAGTGCAACAAAATCCAGTCACCAGGTTCAAAAACAAGCTTGCACCTATTCTTGTTAGCTTGTTGGACATACTCTCGAATTGGGCAGTTCTCCTCTCGATGTTGGTAAGGATCTTCTCGTGCAATGATCTCACGAATTCAGCTTTCTTCTTGCCATATAAGTTCACATGCTCAGAAGAAAGTAATGGAAACAAATCTAAAGGCGTTAAGGGGTTAAAACTATACACAACTTCAAAAGGTGAAAATTGTGTAGCACTATGCATTTCCCTATTATATGCAAACTCTACGTGTGGTAGACACTCCTCCCATGACTTAAGATTTTTCTTTATGATTACACATAAGAGTGTTGATAAGGTCCTATTAACCACCTCAGTTTGTCCATCCGTTTGAGAATGACTAGAAATAGAGAATAGCAACTTGATTCCCAACCTACCCCACAAAGACTTCCAAAAATAGTTCAAGAACTTAACATCTCTATCGGACACTATAGTTCGAGGTATGCCATGCAAAAGTACAACCTCTTTAAAGAATAAGTCAGCAATGTGCAATGCATCATTAGTTTTATGACATGCAATAAAATGAGCCATTTTGGAGAACCTATCTACTACAATGAAGATAGAATAATGACCACGTTTAGATCGAGAAAATTTGTCTTCTTTGAAGCAATTTCTCTTTAACTTGTAAAAGTTAAGTTGAACACCCTAGAATTGATCCTAGGTTGTTTCTTGACTTATCAATCAAACACACACACTTGATTGTGGCGTCTTCTACCGTTGAACCCGTCTTGAGTAGTCCAAGTTTGGGTTCGATTCCGTCAACTTCGCAACGTGTCCTCTAAGGTCTAGGGTTTGCTTCCGCACATCATCTCCTTGGTTTCCGTGGATCAAGGATCACATCAGTTGGTATCAGAACTGGTTAGAGGTATCACGTTTATCCCTTTTTCGTGTTTTGAGTTTGTTTTTATCCTCCATATTCGTAGCTATGTTTTAGGGTTCGTGTCTTGGGTCGTTCGAAATTCTTGTGTCGTGTACAAATTCTGTTTTGTGTTATTTAGTTGCTGTCCAAAATTTCTATCCAGATTTGTCATTGTGTTTGTGTTCTGTTTGAGTCCGACATTCTATTTGTATTGTTTAGTTATGACTTAACTAGCAAGAAAAACAAAAAAATATCGCGTGGCAACTAGGGTTTATCCCTCTTCTTGTCACATCTTAAGTTGGTTTGTCTTTGTGTTGTAATCTGTCCAGATTGCTTTTCATTCGTCAATTGCTATTAGTTTACCTAGATTGTGGTATAATTCGTGTTGGCTATTGTGTTGTTTGGGTCGTGAAAACAACCCAATAAAAAGTAAAAAAAAAGGTGTCACATACCTCATTGTTCCTTGAGTCGTTGCTAGAAATTTTCTTGGGGGCTGCCAAAGCTGTTTTGCCTTTAAACCTTGCATGATTACCAAAACATAATCTGGGTAGTTCTTGAGGT